ATTCAAAAACACTGGCATTTGATCAGCAAGAAAGTTTACAGCCCAGGCCATTTGTAGGGATATCTTAGGGAATATTTGATTAGAACCAGACCCGTTAATGATGGGCAGAGGCCTATGTTCTACATTACTTTGCTCACACACATTGTTGATACAGATACTGCAGGGGCCACAAAGGCGTGATTTAACCAGGATCACTGGCTGAACCACTTCTTTTTCCACTTAACACTTTAGAAGCTATTCTCCTGGATGAGCCTTACATACATTTAAGGATATTAGAGAGGTGTGCTAAAACTTGGAATTTACACAAATGAGAACTTAGCAAATATATTTTAGGCTGACAGTTGTCAAACAAGAGGTTTGTTTACTTAACTGAACAAGGAGATTTAGCATATAAAATGGCTGTTGGGAAGATATGCACAAGGATAATACAAATCTAATACTTTACTACACTCCATCACGACTCTGGTTCCCTGGGCTAACAGCTCATGAAGACATTCATTCACTCAAAGGCTAAGTGCCTTCTGTGTGCCTGGCACTATGGAAGGTAAGCAAAGGAACAGGAAGACAAGAACACAACACCCCTACCCCCACCAGGTCTGTGTGAAGTCAAAGAGACATGCCCATTAAATTATTGCACCACTGTGGGTTTACAGAACACCCTGACATGCCCGAACATCTAGGACGGACAACAGTAAGAATACTCAATAACTGCACATCTGTAAACAATGATGATTAGGCCTGACTAATCCTAAAGCAGCAATATTCTACTCTGGAAATAATCTTGCCTCTGTCAATTAACCCTTGGTATAGATGGAGACTGTCTGAAAAATTTCCACCTATGTTAACCCAAGCTAAGGCTGCTTAGAAAGTGAGGGAATGTAACCTATGTTTTCAACAAAAATAAATGGTAAACTGAAGCACATTTACACTTGATCTCTAATTTGGTTGGCATTTGCTGTGGCCTTCAATAACATTAAAAAGCAACTAGAACATCAACTCTAAAGTCACCATGGCAAGAAACTATTTTGTTGTGGAGTTAATGTCAAATAGAAGCTAAACTGCCAAGTTTTCTAAAACCAAAAAAAAAAAAAAAAAAAAATCACTTTTAGTGACTTCTTCATTACAGCTCTGTGACCACTTATATTCCCCTAGGCTCAAAAACAGGTAGTAGAGACAAATTTACACAAATTGGGTGGTCAGGATTTTAAAATAACTTCTGACCCCATCAAAGTGTCAGTTTTACAGTCAGACAACACTAATGAGTTTTAAAAATAGGGGCCAGCCCTTAACTGTAAATTATAGTTAAAAGGTTTGCAAGCTGAAAACTTACTCGATTTTAAACTCTTACACATCAAAGAGAGAGGCACCGAATTATATGTGACTTTAAAATAAGTAAGAAACAAACTGGCTTTCAATAGCTACTAGAGAGTTCAATGGAATTGTACTCAGACCTACTAACAAGCTAAAGGATCACCACTACCGCAAAGCGATAGTGAAGAAGGAAGCCAAAGAAACAAGACTACCCTCAAAGAGACCTCTGAACAGATTCAAATTTTGGAAGCCGTGTTTTGAAGACTTTTCACCAATCTTGCTATTTTTACCATGGCATTTTAAAGTGAGCTCCGTCTGCACGCCTTTATTAAAAATGCAACACCCCCCCCAAAAAAAAAGTGTCCTAAGATTTACCTATTAGCAACAATTGAGCTTAGAAACTATGTCCCTCCTACACAGCATAGCGGGCCGAGCGGCAAGAACATTCGAGCTCGGGAAGTTTGGAAATGGCAGTGACAGGGGACAAGGGGAAGAGACCACGGAGCCCAGGAGCAACTCCGCGCGGCTGACGCGGCGAGCTGGCCTCCGAGCTGCAAGTTCGGGGCCCGGGACGGGACTCGACCCACCAACTTCGCGCCGGGGCCGACGCGGCCTCCCCGGTCGCAGCCCCGCGGCGGCCTCCGCGAGAGCGGTGACAGCGCAGAGGCAGTGGATGCCGGCGGCGGACACTCACCTTCCTTCTCGGCCCGCGCCGCGGCCACCACGAGGGTCATCACCAGGTGCAGCGCTCCCAGGAAGC